TGGGCAATAAATTACTGGTTTCTTTAAGCTAAGACATTCTTAGGTTAGGTAACTAGTTTACCCATAGTAACACTCAAACTGTTTGCTAAAGAGGTCTTATGCTTGCTGACAAGAGATTATCCAGTTGTAACACCCCCATGCCTAGCTTTCAAAGAGTGGTGTGGTGAGTTTTGATAAGCTGGTATTCCCAAGAACAAAGGCAAGCAAGAGGATGGTGGAGATGAGAGCAAAGTGTTGTGAAAATGAGTTATAGGGATATGGATTATCTGCAAATGATCCTAACACGTCTAAGGGCTATTTTTTTTATTATTTATAGGAGGGGACAAAGTTCCTCGTAAAGGAGGTCCAGGCATCACACAAAGTGACTTGCTTGTTATCAACAAAACTGATTTAGCAGAAGCTGTTGGAGCAGATCTTAAGGTAGGGGGTTGTTTTTTTTTTTGTAGATTTAAAGTTCAATTCCAACTCTATTCAAAGTGACTAGTTTGCTATTTCCTGTTAAATTTGCCTGTATACAGGCAACAGTTGACTTTAAAAAACAATCAAGATGAGGCTATCCCATTTATTTTTATGGTTTGTGAGAGGAGGGAGTGAGGTGCACAGGTTATGCCAAAGGATATGCATCTTTTACCATCAGGTAACACATTTTTTGCTACTTACTGGTAAAGAAACATAATTTATATTTCTTTCAAATTTATAATAATTTTCAGGTGATGGACCGTGAATCTGCCATGATGCGCCAAGGTGGTCCAACCATCTTTTCCCAGGCAAAACATTTGGTTGGTATTAAAGAGATTGCAGATCACATACTTGCTGCTTACAGGGTCAATGTGAAGAACTGATATAGAAGATAACAGAGGCCTCCTTTTATTATACTTTTGACACAAATCTTGATGTACAAGTGAATCATTTGATCATCATTAAAAAATGGGATTTCTGGCTGAATAGTTCAGTGTGGTGGTTTATAAGCTTGTACGATATGTACAGTGTACCACAGGTCACCAACCTTGAACTACAGTTACAGTAGTTTGTATCTTATTTGGTATTACTAGGAATATTTATGTACATGATAAGGATGACAACAATGTGAAATAACATTTTAAAGCTATTAATATGAGTAAACTCAAATCTGGAAAAGCTACTTGAAATTAAAGCCTATTTTCTCTAAGATTGTTGTATTCTTGTTAAATTAAAATTTGTCTGTAACAGTGACTAACACTTCCTTGCAGTTCCAAAGATAATTTTTCAAAATTTGATTTGTCTATGAAGAATTACTCGGCAGGTTGATTTCCCTCTTAAACTACAAACTTCTAAAAGTTCATTTATCATTTTTATGTCTAAAAAATAATAATACTTATTATTTGCTAATTGACAATGTTTTCATTTCACAAGTGGGTCTCCACCAAGTCTTGGCACTATATCTTGAATAACCATTCTAAAGAAATTGTACGCCTGAAGAAGAAAAAGGAGATGATATGTTAAGGCCATCACCTCTGTCATTTTTTGCCTCAGACTGTAAGTTCTTTCATTAACTTTCTTTGACAAAGTGAGATGTCTGAATGACAATAGGGCCAAACTCTGTAGTGCTCCGCTCTACATAATCCCTCTAGATCTGTTGTGGAATAGAGAAAACATTTACCTGTGAAAACTTAAGGGTTTAATAACTAAAGGTAATTTTGGTTTTGTCAACTTGAGTTAATAAAATAAAATGTAAATTGGACACTGTGAAGAGTTTCAAAGCTGATGTTTCAAGTGTTTGCCCTTCTTCATTCACTCTGACAAAGGGCTTATGCTCAAAATGTCAGCTTTGAAACTCTTAACGGTGGCAAATTGATATTACCGGTATCAACTCAGTTGATAAAACCAAAATTACCTTGTTATACTCCCAGACTGATGCAGCACCACATTTTCTTTAGAAATTTACCACCTTTGAGGTTTATAACAGCCTATTTCCTTGCTACACAGCAAGTACCAGAGGGAGCAGCAAAAGTTAATGCAAGACATGAAACTATTTACACTAAATCACGCAATTACATGTAATTCTCAGGCACAGAATGTGTGGTATCTTACTAATAAAAGTTCTTTACAGAGTATTCGGTATTTTAATTACAGGGACTTTTGTAAACACCTTCAGAAATAGTAATATTGAAAATATCACGTCACTTTTTTACCTCTTCCGTACTTTGTGTGGTTATGAGTTTGACAACAACACCATCGCAGAGTGAAGGATCCAAAATACTAGCATAGGCCATCACATCTTTCTTGACAGTACTCATATCATTGCATTCTGTTGATTGATTCAAATGAATTTGATCAATAAAAAGTCACCATTTACTCTACTTTCTTTCAGAAAATGTTGCTGGAGATGTAGGCTTCAAAAACCATTATAAATTGAGTTACTCTTATTTTTAGTAATTAATTTTAATATCTTTGCCATCAGAACAATGAATAGTATTATACATTTGCATCTCACTGTGTTTAGAGACTCCAGAGAATAACCTAACTCTTTGAAAATTGTCTCCAAATGAAATAAAAATTCATCAAAGGATGGCACCAGTCTGAAAACAATCTGGTAACCTTCTCATGCCCTCAAACCCACAGTGTTTGTATAGATAATCACATGATTTTGAGTGCAATTTGGAATAAATAAGCATGAGTATATTTTTTCAAAGACTTACAAAATTGCATGAGCCCATAGGGCGAGACTGTGGAATTTGTGGTCTTTGAAAAAATTTACAAGTGCTTATTTATTCCAAAATGCACGAGAAAATCATGTAATTATGTATTTAATAGTATACATGAAAAATACAAGGTAGCTTCTTATAACTAAGCAGAAGAAAAGCACGTGCATCACATGCAAAAAGAATTTATTCAAACCCTGCAAGTGACATTGACCTTGACATTGACCTTGACTAATCATTCTGACCAATCAGAATGTCTGGTTTGTTTCTTTCTTTGCACTGAATTAACCCTCTTCTGCATTGAATTATCTGAAAACTGTATTTATCTTAACCAATCAGAGCTGAGTAAGTTTTTCATGTATATTATTAGGTTCATAAACAGCTCCTTCTCTCCAGGGATAAAAACACTGTATAAAATGTTGTTTGTAATTTTTAATGGTAGATCGAGATACAAATAAAAATAATAGTTCTGGAGAACAATTAGCCATTAAACCTTAAACTTCCAAGATCTCAATACTAATTCTCCTTGCAGTCTGCCATACAGTTCTTATGATGTTAGTTCAGAGAATTTGGTATTGGATCAACTGATAATCCCCTAATTGATATATTTCTTTCTTCTCATCACATGTCTGCTTGATATCATATTGATATTGTAAGGAGAAATTAACTCTAGGTCACTCTTGCAAGTTTGAGGGTTAATTTTAATTTTCTTACTTGTGAGAACAGAGACTCTCTCCTTAATATTTTTCTTGATTTCTTTAAAATATGGACCAATAAAAACACAGGTTCCCAACACCTGAAAGATGAACAAACTGTAAGTTGATGATAACTAACAGTGTTTATTTAATTTATAATAACAAGTTTTATTATCAAAATTTTAAGTGTCTTAGTTACCATCACACCAAACATGGACTCTTTAAGTGAAAGAAAGCTGTTCTCATTGCTAAGGAAGATTGAATCTCCATACACTTGCTTTCCATCTACAAAGACTCTGTTATGACTTTTGTAACTACACATAAAGACAGAAGAATGTAACAATTAGTCTAAGATTTTGTTCTTACCAATAAAAAATATTTTTAAATGCATGTATGATCATAATTATACTATTTAATAGGTATGGGAATTTACATGTAGCAGTGGACATTCCACAAGGTGGCTCTTCCTCTCCACTGTTTCTAGACTGGAGTTTGGAATGATGGTTTTTTCAGAGGGAAGAAATCCAGAGAACCTGGAGAAATACCCTCAGAGCAAGGACGAGAACCAACAACAGACATGTGTGTCCCCAGGTCTGGGAATCAAAACCAGGCCACAGCTGTGGGTGATGAATGCTCTCACCAGCTTAATGTACCATCCCTTGCTTCTATTCACTATGTACTGAATAATTACCTTATCATATCCCAGACTTCTCCAAGTGCCACACGCCCAGCTTTAAACCAATCCAGGATGACAACACTGCCATCTGAAGTTAACTCAAAATCCTACAACATGATGACCATTCATTAATAACAACCAAGACTCAAAAGACATGCAACCAAATCAACAACATTCAGTCCTTGCTTGTGGTACACAAAGAAGTGCTTTAATTAAAAGTAGCAGGTTCCAATCCATAAAGTTAAAGGCTCTTCAGATGTACCAGAGTACCTCCAGGGGTACACTCAGTTTTGGGTACAAAGCAAGCTTTTTCTTCTAACTGATTGACAGCTCACCTGTTTCTGGCTGTAGATGGCATTTTTGAAGCAGACTACAGGATCTGGAAGAACTGCTAGCAATCCCCCATCAGCAACCAGACCTCGTAAGCCCTGTTGTGTAACTAAGCTCTCTTCTGAGTTATAAACCTGGACATTTGATCACATAAGAGAGCAAGTAACCTGGCTATTAATAAAAATATTTTAATAGTCAATAGCCTGATTACTTGCTGATTGCTTGTTATGAAAATAACAAATATATCCCCAACCATTTACACCTTCCCTGCAACAAATTCTGAAGTGCCAAACCCTTGCAGTAAAGACTAAGTTACCAACTGTCATAGGAATGTAGTAGATGTAAGATATGGACTGGGTGGGAACCTGAATTGAATTATGCTTGAAAAGCAGGCATGACTTGTTGCAAAGCAACACACCCTTAGGCTAAGTTTGGGAGTCTAAGGGCAAGCTCCTCCATTTTTTAAATTTGAATCCCTTTGAGACATAATTTCCAGCTTTCTGGGCCATATTTGATTGATTATTTCAGTCAGACATTTATGCTTAGAATCAGTTCAAATATACTTATTTTCTAGAGAAGAATATTAATGTTTTCATCTTGTCACAAGTGTGAGATGAAGAAAAATTGAGTTCCCATGAGAAGTCGCATCTCAGACCTTCTGATTCCAAGCTCAGATGTTCTACCACTGAGCCACGGAGACTCCATGGTGTGCAAGGCCTATTATGAAGTCTTTTGATCACAATTTGCAGAGTAGGCGACACAAAATGGTTTGATATTCAGCCTGATTCAGCCTCCAACTGGCTTCCAATGACAACTCTGCTTTAATATAATTATAGTTAACCTTGCTTACCTTTGTCGACGCTTGAGTAGTCACAACCACTGTGCAGTGCTCCCCAACCTTCACATCAAGGGACACATTGTCTCCTTCTACTAGCCCACCACCAAAAGTGATAACATACAGCCACTGACAACATGGTACAGAAGATGCAAAACCTGGCACAAGTAGCTTTAACTGCCAGAAGAAAAATTATTCATAATTTATTAAGATTCATATTAAGAACACAACCTAAAAAAAAAATGAATAACAACTTAAATCTAAAGCAAAGTTTTTCATTTACAGAAAATAAGTGTCGAGAAGTAAATTCTTGCAGTGTTTGCTTTTGTGAAATTCTTCTTAAGTTTGCAGTTATTATTTTTGTTTATCAAGGACCATCCTAAAATTTAGCAAAAATGAAAGTGTTTACTATTTCTTACAGGGTAAGTGTACTCAAGGTTTGTGTTTTTGACTTTGAAGTCTTCTGCAGATTCCTTCCATGTATCTTTGTTTTTGACAGGGGAGCAGCAAAACTCTGCAAATCCCTTCACAGCTTTACGTCTGTTTAGGTGACCATTGTTGTCAGCTATGTGTTTGCCATTTTCAACGGACATAGATCTAGATCTTATTTGCTGTTGATATTCCAAAATTGTCTAGTCCTATAATCCTGGACATAATTATACAGAGCAAAGTTAAATTGCATGGAATGAACAAAAGTGGGTAGTGATTCTTTTTAAGATTTTCTTTCCAAACATTTATAAAATTCAAATGCACCTCAACTGATGAGTGACATAAGGAAAGGGTTGGAAGGTTTATAGTTCAGAGACCTCCAATTGAAACAATGAATTACAAAGGACCCAAAAGTTAGTAATTAATCAGAGAATCCTCAACTATTTCTTTTAAAGATCATTTCTGTTGATGCGGTGCATATAATACTCAGAGAAAGAAACCACTCCATCAGTGTACGAATATTCACGAAATATTTGAACATTGATCTCCTTTCTGGGGATATGGTATAAAGTAATCAGTTACATGACAGATCAGAAATGATTTGATTACATTCCACTTTTCCACCCACCCATGCACACCAGCCTCATTTTTATGCCCTGAGGTCAAATCGGACACATTTACAACGGTGCAGAGATCAAGCAACAAACTCAAATTCTCCAATACATAATTATCATCAACGTTTTCCTTCATGAATTCCCTTTAAGAGACCACCGAATCTGATATTTCAAACATCCAGAGGAGGATATCTCTTCCTTCATCCAAAACTTTCAAATCATACAAATTTCCCAACTGAGCATTCGTTCTTCCTCTAAAATCTAAGCCATTCTAGCTTATTTACACTGCTCTACGTGATACCTTTAAATTGTTAAGACTACCTCACTTCAAGACATGAAACAACTAGAGTGGACTCTCTGGGCAGTTTGTCCGTCCACGAGGTTGATGTTGACGGAGAAATATAAAGTAAGCTTACATGACGTATAAATATTCGGTCTATCCCCAAGGGACAGGAGAGACAAATAAAATTTTTAAGAGAACATAAATCTACAATTTATTCTAGATACCGAAAACCTTCAGAAGTGAGCTCAATCAAAGATTCCGTGAGATTGAATAAGGAGAAACAGTCCTTGATTTCGAAAAAAATTCTGAAAAATAAGAGGAACAGTCCATGCCCTGTCGTGGGTAAGGAAGTGTTGTTACCAGTTTCTTCACGGTAATTATATGACGGACAGTTGGAAGATCCCCTATTGCAACCTGAAGTTAATAACGAGACGAAGCAGAGATCGATCAGTTATTCTACAGGCGTGAAGAGGTACCACAGAGCTCGAGGACTAATTTATCCGATTCATATAGTTTTGAACACGTGTCTTTTGAAAATGGTGCGAGTACTTCTCTTCCATTACTTCAAAGCGCAACGAATATTCTCCGATTCTCTTCAGCACACCTCTTTTGCCTCTACGAAAGATTATCTTTTCCTCGGTACTGGAGAAATGAAGGTGTTTGTTTACTCGCTCGAGCAACCGAACTTTCCTCTATTTTGCAAGTTTCCAATAATGTCAAAACCTGTCAAGTTGATTTGTAACGAGAAAGCCAAGTGCGTCGTGACAATCGAGAGGACATTCCGACGAAGAAACTCAGTAGGTAGTAAAGTAAACGTTCAAAATCACTCTCGCGCTTACTTTAACTGGTTCAAGGCAAACCCTGACGAGGCAGTGCGGACTTATGCGGCGGGACATTCTCATTATCAAAGGCAGGAATCAGATAGAAAGTGCAAAGATTTTCTAGCTTTGGAGATTTCCACCCAGTTTAATGTCACAGCTATTTGTTGCTGCCCAACAAGTGGTAACGTTGCCATTGCAGGCGCGAAAAAAGTGAGTTTGTTCAGGTGGAGTGGTAGCCTTTCATATGGTGGCACAGATGTCAGTTCAATGCATCACGATCTGGTACATTTCCTTGACATTGAACCCAGTATGATTGTGAAAGAAGTCGAACTAAGTGACTGTTACCTCGCTGTGAGGTCAAATCTTGATGTTCAAGTCCTCAAGCTTGTGTTTACAGTTGATCAAGATTCTTTGTCATCAAGCAGAAGTGGGAAAAGTTCAAGTTCGGGAACAACTCAACAGAATAGGTATTAGACAAGTACAGGGGGCAGAGGCTGATGTACATAGCACAGAGCTGTCAATAAGGCTGTTTAAGGGAATGCCTCACCCTCCCTTCTTAACCATTTTACTCTCAAGATCTGACTGTTAATTCTTTCCTCTAATTGTTATACATTTTCTTGTACATTAGTTTCAAGTATTTGGTTTTACATCAAGAATGACAACTTCTAGCTGATAAGTTTGCATATTCTCATTACCTGTTTGCTGGATAATGTATGGATACCATAGGGAGAAATTACATCTTAATCACTTCTGGGAGTTAAAGGGGCAATTAATGGTAGGAGTAATCTGATGTAGATGATTAAGAGAGGATAAACATCCAGGCCAAGATAGGATAGTGTTCTCTCACTGAGCTCGTTTAACCCAGAATTATTCAATAAGATGAATATGATAAGATCTATGATTAAATATGATGAATGGATTACCAAGAAAGTACTAGGGGAAATTTGGCACAATGTTAGAAGTTTCTTTGGTTAGGGTGGGTTCCTTTTTGATTGGGAAGGGGTGGAAATCTTTTTTTTGGACAAACTGGCATTTTTGACTCCTTCAGGGCATAAGGAAAACAAATTTTTGTTATAATACAGAAGTTTCTTTGATAAACCTCAGCAACTTATGCCACTTGCATAATAAAGACTTCAAAAGGAGACGTCATCACATGGCCTGTCTACCTTGCTCTTTCTAAGTGAATAGAAATAAGATAAAAATCCTTGTGTTGGGGCATTACCTGTTACATGTCAGTGGTGTGAGAAAAGCTGGAAAAAGTAGTACTGACTTTCATAGGATGAAATGCTAAATAAATTGAAAGTCTCACAGAAAAGAAACTTTTTTGCTCTCAGTGATAATGCATGGACCCCTTTGCACCTGGTGGGTCTGTTGTAACCTTGAGCCAAATATTTCCCAGTTGGGTCCTCCCTCCAGGTCACATAACTTGTGTTGGTTGCTGTTATTGATTCAGAGGCGTATATTTTACTCCTAGGGCCACAACATCCCTATGGGAATTTGAATCCTTGCTCCAGCTTACAGAACAAATCCAAGAGGAACCAAAAGATGACAACTGTGTTTTGTGGTCCTTTGATGATTGCTCACCATTATTGTCTTCAAATCAGCCACTAGCTGTGAAATCCAAAGAGGAAGTTATGTTTCCATCGGTGAGAAAAGAAAAGGTTTACAAAGACTTCTTACCAGATCCCAAGGAAATCTTAGGACCTATGTCAGAGGTACCTGGGCACCCTGTGACTGTGGCATTTGGAGGGCTCTATGGAGTTGGTTTTGCTGTGGACGGGTGCATGTCAAGAGTGAAAGGAATTACTATGCTGTACCGCAGATTTAGAGTGGAACAGCTTAGTAATGAAGGCAATGATTCTGCCACACTTCACACATTACAACTTCTTCCAACGTATACTCAAGGTAGAATAAATTATCTAGTAAACTCTCTAAAGCAGTATGAATAGGGCACTGGACTGTTGTGCGGGAGGTCGAGGGTTCGAGCCCCGGCTGGACCAACACTCAAGGTCTTAAAACAAGTGAGAAGAATATGCTACCTTTCTATATCAAGAAATGGTTAGATACTCTCTAGTCTTCTCGGATAGGGACGAATAAATGGAGATCATGTCTCCTGCAGGGTTAGGGGTAGGAGACGCTAATTTTCCATGCATGAGATTACTGTGTGATGGATGTCCTCCCCTGGGGTGGTAGTTGGGTGGGAATTGGCCCTGAAAAGCCCCCATGGGGAGTGGTCAATTAAGATATGTATGTATGTATGTATGTATGTAGGTATCACTGTATATATATGGAATAAGAAACTTATGTATGTATATATGGAATAAGAAACTTATGTATTGTATATATGGAATAAGAAACTTAGGTATGTATGTACGTAATTATGTATGTATGTATGTATGTATGTATGTAAAGCACTCTTTTTTTTGATGACCAAAATTTTTCCTCATGGTGACCATTTTATATTTAAAGGTGGGCAAAAGGCACATTTTTGGAAAAATGATCCAAGAGCTCTGTTGTCTCATGCTTGTGTTAAATTGAATTTTGTTTTTAGGAATATCTCACATAAAAGAGATGCAAAGATCTCCTTTAGTTCCAAGAACTCTCTGTGACCCGACCATGTGTGGTATGTGTTGCCTTATCTCTGGTCCTAAAGAAGGCTTCCTGTATGACGTGTTTGATACCTGTAACCTTTTGTCTTATTACAAGTACACCACGGATACAGTCAGTGTTTCCATCTTCAGTGGTCTGCTTCATGCAATAACCAGACAGGGAATTGAAACTTACACTGTGCGCATTTATGCGGCTGCATCTGATTGGATCAGAAAGAATGCAGCTGAAGACACCCAAGTTGACAAGGGCTTAGGTGAGGAGCAAAATACGGTGAACAGTGTTGGGGAACAGGAAGAAAATTTTATGGAGAGAAAAGATGTTTAAGATTTGGCAGGTGAAAGTAGATCAAGTTTAGCCTCTGCTTCTGGGAGCACACAAAGTGAAGAGTTGCTTGAGACAGGCAAGGTCAATCAAGAAGTCAAAGAAAATGTAGAAGAAGGTTATAATGAACCTTGCATCCCAGAAAACATGCCATCTGCAGCAAGTGCATTTACCACAACACTTTCACATGCTGACAGCCCAGACTCCACAAACATTGTCTCTTCTGATAAAGGTACAAAAATCTTAGGGGGTGAAGTCCCCCCAGCAGGTTACAAGGAGGCAAAGGCATCACCTCCAGATATTAAATGGACTGTTGATGACGCTGGGCAAACACTTGTGAGGTTCACGTCAGGAAGAATTTCATCTCTGCATAAGGGGGCAATGACAGGTGATCTGAAACAGTTTGAAGAAACTGAACATAGTAATGATGGTACAGATGGTGAGCATGACAGTGAGGTCATGTGCACAAGAACCTTTGCATTTAGCAATCCAATGAATCGCAATACCAGCACTGGAGCTAAAGTGAGTGATGCTGTCTATCAAGCTGCTGTCAGTAAACTCTCCAGCAACAGTGGATGGCCTTTGCCTGTCTTTGACCTAGGAAGCCTAAGACAGGTATGATTTTGTATGGAAAATGTAGGTACTAAGTAATACAGTGATTCATCATTAATGTCAGAGCTTGTACCAGTTTCTATTGCTTGTAGAGAATACCACTCCACTCCCCCTCGCATGGGATGCTGGTGAACAAATGATTCCCCTAGTGTTTCTTGGAGATTCCCAGACAGTTTCACACACACAAAAAAAAAAAAAAAAGTCTTTTTATAGGATTACACAATTACTGGTGAACCAGTAGTTTCCATTGTGGTCCTTGCAAACAAATGAAACAAATGGGCTAAATTGAACATAACATCATTAAGAACCCCAACTGGCCGGAGGCAAACCAGTTGGCTATTTACAAGCGGGGCCAAGGATCTGAACACAAGGCTACCGTGAAACAAATCTAGTGGTCAGGGTGGGACTCGAACCCGGGAGCAGCGGATTACGAGTCTGACACTCTAACCACTCGGCCACACTGCCTCCTACTCAACATGCTTAATATAGAGACCTTCAACAACTATTGTGGCAACAGCAATGAGAACCTGGCCAAACAGAATCTTTCAATGAGCCCATCAATAACTTAATTTTTGCATTTTAAAATTCGGCACATTTTCCTTGCAGTCTTCTACAAAACAACAATGTCAAATCACTAAAATTTGCTTGGCTTCAGAACAGGAAACTTGATGGTGATTTATTTACATTGGCATTTGGAACTAAGTGCTGCTTGCATATCTTATGGTGAAAATTAGGTCTAGCACCTTTAGAGATGGTAATTACATCCACCCCTTTGTGAAATTCCTAAGAGGAACATATTTCTTTTATCTATCATTGTTTTCCTTGGCATTGCTGTCCTGATTGCTCAAGGTCCTTATAGGTGGAGAGAAGCTCTGAAAGAGACATGTGTCTTCTTAAGGAACACACACAATGATCCAGCCAGGGCTTCAACCTGGACCTTTTTGATCTGGAATCCATTGTTCAATCCATAAAGGGATGGTGTCTCCCACTTACGAAATAATTGTTGACTATTTTTGGTTAGACAATCCATGTAATTACCAAATAGAATACCTAGTTCATAAGAGAGGTATGAGCTGGTGTTTTGTTAATATTTAAATTTTATAACATTTTTTTTTTCATACAGCGCTGTCCTCAGCCAACTCTAGACATCTGCTTGATTGGCATGTATCCTTTTACTGGATGTCAGTATGTGTCTGCCAGTGAAGGAAGTGTTGTTTTGTTTGCAAAAGGTGCACAGGATAACTTGCAAAGAAGCAAGAGGTAACAGTAATCTGATGCAAAATTCCAAATCTCTGAGACTGATTTAGCCATGTGAATTACAAATGCAGAGATTTGCAAGCAGACAGAGAGAGTCTGTTTAAAGCCAGGTTTAAACAACAGCGAACAAATAGACAGACAGACAGACAGATGGTGCTGTCCATGTGTTATGAGATAGACAAGCAGTTAGACAGACATACACGAAGAGATGACAGTTACTCAATTGCAATGACATTTGGACAGACCGACAGAGAGCCTACCTTAAGCCACTTTAAAAGGATAGCTAACAGGTGGATAAACAGACATACAGACCAACAGGGGGATGGACAGACCACCATTCAAATAGATCAACAAACAGGAAGACAGATCAACAGGCAGAAAAACAAACCAACAGGGAGGCACATAAACGAACAGGTAGACAGACAGACCAACAGAAAGACAGACAAACAGGTGCCATTGCAGTGGCAGGTTAAGAGAGAGGCACATAGGTAAATACACAGAGAGTTGCCAAACAGATTGACAATACAAATTAATTTGGCTATTTCAACTAAGTTGAAATTGTAAATTGGCCACAGTAAAGAGTTAAAAAGCTTTTTTTAAATGAACTCTTTACTGTGGCCAATTTACAATAACTTACTAGTTGACATAACCAAATTACCGTGTTACCCACCCACAAAGCACCATTGTTTTTTTTTTAGAAACTTACCCCCTATATTCAGATCAACAGTACAGACCAACTGACAAGTTGACAAATGAACAAATCGATGGACAATCCCCTAGGTCAGACAAACATGCAAGTGGACACACAACAGATTTTTTAACATTTGGTTGTAGACTAGGTCATTATATGGGCAGAAAGAGTGACAAAGTTGATCCACCTGCATTCAAACAGAGAGACTTTGTGGGAAGATAGACAGTAGATATTCATTTACTAGTTAGATCAAAGGGCATTTGATAAGACTTAAGAGACTTAAAGAACAGAGTAGTGACAGTCAAAGAGATGGACAGAGATGCTTTTTAGAGGCACTCTTACTAAATAAATGTATTTGGTAATATCTGCTACAATTGCTCTTTTATGTATTGGTTGTTCTGAAATGAGTGTCAGCTGAGTGGAACAATTTTTCTTTGAAACACTGGGCACAAAATATCTAGCAAACAGTGAAGTTGGTCTTTGTCATAATTTCTTAGTGCAAAATCTTATTATTAGTTTTAAGAACAAACCATCAAGGCCTCTGAATGAACAAGGAGATAGTAAAAACCCTGACTGGACAGTGTATGTCCTCCAGAATATGGACCCCATTCAGCTTTACAAGGCAGTGGTATGTTGTACTTTATATTGATTTTCTCCACACTGTTCTCTGTATGTTTCCCAAGGTATTGATGATAATAATAATAATAATAATAATAATAATAATAGATTGTAAATTAGCAGTGGTATATTAGTATTAGTTGTATCTTAAATAATTTTCCATGCTAGCAAATAGGTTTTTATATTTTTTATAAGTGCAACGATGTGTAGTTTCATAGGTTACGCTGTGCGCCCTATGAAACTTTCTTTTCCTGGCATGCTGAAGTTCAATAAACTG